GCAGGTGGCTTGGTGCACCACAACTCAAACTGACGTTTAGGAGGGCGCTGCGACAATGCAAAGAACCAACATCACTTAAACAGGAGTTAGACATTTCGAGTTGTTTCTTCTAGAGTGTGCGGTGTGCTTTGCGCGGCACACATCACAAACGGTTTTTCATGGCAAAACCCGGTCTTCGTCTTCTAGTGGCTTGAAACAGTGTGTCATGCGCAGTTCACCGCATGTTCATGTAATGTCACTCTACTTTCACGACAGTAGAGTCCAAGAAGGTATAAGTTCAATGAACAAATATTGTCGCACCAAATTGAGAAGGATAGCTTTCGCAGATTTTGTAGCAGCGCGATGAGAGTGATTCCGCATTTGTCCACAGCTCTGTGCCCTTGGGCCATGTGCCCAAAGTTATTTCAATCTACAAACAACACAAGAAACAGCTCAATTAAGCATGATGTACAATACTTTGCAAATTCGGGTATGTTCTGTTTCACCATGACTCCTAGATGATCAAGTTCACATGTCGCTTCAACTCTTCAACTGTGGTTCTCTGGCTAATGCGACTCAGCGCAACATGTACCAGTTGCCCCTAAAGTTGACGCCGTGAAGCAAGCATATTGCTTTTAAGCTTTGCTCACAGCGCTAAACTGCCCCAAGACCCTCACTGTTACAGCCAAAGGGTCCAGTATTTATATGATAACAGGCAAGCTTGCAAGGCATGCTACAGTATTCTGCGAACAATAGCTGTCACTAGCAATTGAATGGTCGTTCCGTAACGTCCACCTAGGATTAAACATTGCACCTGGAATAAAAAATGGGTGGCTCCCCAAAAAATGCACCTGGAATAAAGACAAGCACCCGCCACCCCCGCCCAAATTTTCTGAACGAAAAGTATAAGGAACATGACAAAATGGAACAAACAGAGAAAGAAGAGGAGAGGTAGCCAAGCCAACACCTGGTCCTTAGATCTTTGTTACCTTGTTCTTCAGCTCCCCAAAAATCAAACTGTCCAGCTGCCCAAGAAGTCATGGTTTCTTACATGTCTCTTGTTTCAAAACTGCCCGCAATCAAACCTGCAAAGGGGGTGGGTAGTACTTCAGGCCCCCAAACTTGAGCCCAAGACATTATTTCAGGGGCCCCTACAATAAAGTCTTGTTGTTTGGCCCCCTGCAAATATACAACTAGCCCAGTGTAACTACCTATGAAGGGCCTGCTTCCCAAAATCAAGAATGTCCAGCTTCCCCAAGCTCTTGTTTTCTTGCATGTCTCTTGTATAAAAACTGCCTACAACCAACCCACAAACAACCTAGTACTTCAGAAACTTCACCCCCAATTTGACATTATTTCAACGGCCTCTGAAATAAAGTCTTGTTGCCTGCCCGCGGCTGCCCGCGTCCCAAAAAGTATCAAAAGGAAGCTCCAGCAATACAAAATCAAATGGAAACTAAGTTCCAGATCTCGAAAGGAAGCTCCAGCAATGCAAAATCAAATAGCAACTCAATTCCAAATCTCAAAAGGAAGCTCCAATGCTAAATCAAATGGAAACTCAATTCCAGATCTCAAAAGGAAGCTCCAGCAAGGCTAAATCAAATGGAAACTCAGTTCCAGATCTCAAAAGGAAGCTCCAGGAATGCTAAATCAAATGGAAACTCCAGCAATACTAAGTCAAATGGAAACTCAATTCCAAATCTCTAAATCATATGGAAACTCCATTCCAAATCTCAAAAGGAAGCTCCAGCAATACAAAGACAAATGGAAACTCAATTCCAAATCTCTAAATCAATCAGAAACTCAAATACAAATCTCAAAGGGAAGCTCCAGCAATACTAAATCAAATGGAAATTCAAGTCTTATTACCAATACTAAAGCAAATGGAAGCAACATTGAACGGGATCTCAAGAGATTATTCTAGGCACCCCCTTTGTTGGGGTGGGGGAGGGCCCCCCCTTTACTAATCCCAGGTGGACTCCGAACAAACACCTTTTACAGGACATTGCTCCGAACATAGTTCGGATAGGTGGACAGGGTCGGGCGGGCGGACGCGTCCGGACGCGTCCGGACGAGAAAAACATACAAAAAACCTTTTTCTGTCCAAAACACATTTTTTTGTTTTGGGCGTCCAGCGGGGCGTCCGAAAAGGCGTATTTAGGCGTCCAAAAGGCGTATTTAAGCGTCCGTCCCGGACTAGTCCGAACCAAAACACCTTTTTTTGAACAAAACACCTTTTTTTGATAGTCCGGGCCCGTCCGGACCAATCCAGACCCGTCCGGACCCGTCCGGGCCGTCCAACCGGTCCGGCGGACCCTGTCCACCTATCCGGACTATGTTCGGAGCAATGTCCTGTACATGGTCTTTGTTCGGAGTAATGTCCGCCTGGGATTAGTAAAGGGGGGGCCCTCTCCCCCCCAACAAAGGGGGTGGCTAGAATAATCTCTTGAGATCCAGTTCAATTTTGCTTCCATTTGCTTTAGTATTGGTAGGCTTAAGTTTCCATTTAATTTAGTATTGCTAGAGCTTCCTTTTCAGATCTGGAATGGAGTTTCGATTTGATTTAGTATTGCTGCAGCTTCCTTTTGAGATCTGGAACTGAGTTTCCATTTGATTTAGTATTGCTGGAGCTTCCTTTTGAGATTTGGAATCGAGTTTCCATTTGATTTAGCATTCCTGGAGCTTCCTTTTGAGATCTGGAACTGAGTTTCCATAAGATTTAGTATTGCTGGAGCTTCCTTTTGAGACTTGGAATTGCGTTTCCATTTGATTTAGCATTGGAGCTTCCTTTTGAGATCTGGAGCTGAGTTTCCATGTGATTTAGTATTGCTGGAGCTTCCTTTTGCGATTTGGAATGGAGTTGCTATTTGGCTTTTCATTGCTGGAGCTTCCCTTTGAGATTTGGAACTTAGTTTCCATTTGATTTTGTATTGCTGGAGCTTCCTCTTGATATTTTTTTGGACGCGGGCAGCCGCGGGCAGGCAACAAGACTTTATTTCAGGGGCCGCTGAAATAATGTCAAATTGGGGGTGAAGTACTAGGTTGTTTGTGAGTTTGGTTGTAGGCAGTTTTTAAACAAGAGACATGCAGGAAAACAAGAGCTTGGGGAAGCTGGACATGTTTGATTTTGGGAAGCAGGCCCAAATCTAGCAACAAAGCCCGAAGCTTCATAGGTAGTTACGCTGGGCTAGTTGTATATTTGCAGGGGGCCAGACAACAAGACTTTATTGTAGGGGCCCCTGAAATAATGTCTTGGGCTCAAGTTTGGGGGCCTGAAGCACTACCCACCCTTTGCAGGTTTGACTGCGGGCAGTTTTGAAACAAGAGACATGTAAGAAACCATGACTTCTTGGGCAGCTGGACAGTTTGACTTTTGGGGAGCTGAAGAACAAGGTACCAAAGATCTAAGGACCAGGTGTTGGCTTGGCTACCTCTCCTCTTCTTTCTCTGTTTGTTCCATTTTGTCATGTTTCTTATACTTTTCGTTCAGAACATTTGGGCGGGGGTGGCGGGTGCTTGTCTTTATTCCAGGTGCATTTTTTTGGGGGCCACCCGTTTGTCTTCATTCCAGGTGCAATGTTTAATCCTAGGTGGACGTTACGGGAACGACCATTCAATTGCCAGTGGCAGCTATTGTGCGCAGAATACCGAGCTTACGGAACGACCATTCAATTGCTAGTGACAGCTACTGTTCGCAGAATAGCAGGTGTTGCAAGCTTGCCTGCTATCATATAAAGACTGGACCCTTTGGCTGTATGCTTGCTTCAGGACATCAACTTTAAGGGCAACTGGTACATGTTGCGCTGAGTTGCATTAGCCAGAGAACCACCGTTGAAGCAACATGCGAACTTGATCATCTAGGAGTCATGGTGAAACAGAACATACCCGAATTTGCAAAGTATTGTACATCATGCTTAATTGAGCTGTTTCTTGTGTTGTTTGTAGATTGAAATAACTTTGGGCACATGGCCCAAGGGCACAGAGCTGTGGACAAATGCGGAATCACTCCCATCGCGCTGCTACAAATCTGCGAAAGCTATCCTTCTCAATTTGTTGCGACAATATTTGTTCATTGAACTTCTACCTTCTTGGACTCTACTGTCGTGAAAGTAGAGTGACATTACATGAACATGCGGTGAACTGCGCATGGCACACTGTTTCAAGCCATTAGAAGACCGGGTTCTGCCATGAAAGACCGTTTGTGATGTGTGCCGCGCAAAGCACACCGCACACACTAGAATCACTAGAAGAAACAACTCGAAATGTCTAACTCCTGTTTAAGTGATGTTGGTTCTTTGCATTGTCGCAGCGCCCTCCTAAACGTCAGTTTGAGTTGTGGCGCACCAAGCCACCTGCTCGCTTCCAAAGGAAACCTGGTTTGGATGCCTTGCGGCTCAGTAATCGGCTCCAACACTAGGCACCACGCAACGGAGCAGCCTTCTTAACTTGTGCAACTCACAAATGTTTTTCTCACACAAAAATGAAAGGCTAATAACGCGGCTTTTGTTTTCCCTTGTGTTGTGTTGGCATTCAAGCCGTTTGGGCCAAGGTCAAATTATGTTTGATGATTTCTTCCATGCCAACATCAAAGGCATTGCGCAGCTGAGCTGAACCTGGAGGTTTGACATTGGGTGACAGCAAGGTCCGCGCCGCTGCTTGGCTTGGCACTTGTATCTTTCAAGCAAGCCCTGCGCAGTGAACAACAACGTTGTTAATTCAAACAAGTTAAACACACCGCTAGCGAAATTGCAGGGATGACAAAGCAGCGCATGAAAAAAAAAAACGAAAACACCCAAACATGGAACTAACACCCCAAAAAATGACAAAACACCCCAAAAATGAATGCAACACAGCACCACCCCAAAAACGAAGGGTGATTGAGGGTCCAGGTACCCTCCAAAAAAAGACGAGCCAAGTATAAATCCATTGGTCTGGGCAAATCCACATTCCCTTGGCGCGCCAGCTTTTGTCTCCCGAGAGCATCCCGCGCTGCTTGGCAGCGTCAGCGGGCTTCGGAGGTCGGCTTCCTTCCAAGTTTCCTTTGGGTCGGGAGCTCGGTCTGAAGAAATCTTGGGCGTGGGCCTCTCAGTTTTTGCGGCTGATGGAAGTCCGCCGGTTGCACGTCCCAAGAAACTCGCTGGCGCAGAGCTCAGGCGCCCCTTGTGCTCGTCCGCTCAGACACTTCGCACCTGGAAAAACAAAAGCACAGGGTGCCCTCGGAAAGTGGATGCTGTTTTTTTTCCACCTTTGGTCAAATTATGATGATGAAAAGCCATTGGATTCTATTTTACCAACGGACACATGCGCAACTCTTAAAGCCTATGGGTGGTAGAGGGACCCCAGCGGCATATCCCCAATTTCTGACTCGGCCAATGGCATCCAGGTCGCAGTCCTGTGGAAGCCACGCCATGTGGCCATGGGTCCAAAGCCCGTATCCCAATGCAACCACTGAAATAGGTTCTAACATGGGTGGTGACTTCACCTGCCCCAAAATGGGATCCCATTGTATCCAGATCGATTCCGGGGGTGACATCCAGAGACCGCCGTCGAACAGATTTCTCCTGCCCGGCGCCGGGCGTTTTGAACCCCTGGGATGCGGTTGTGCTCACTTTGAGTGGTCTGTTCCCCAAAACGGATGCTCTTCAAGCAATAAAAGCCAAGGCCAACCGGCCAACCCAAGAAGGTTACCCAAATGCGATGGTTGAAACATTTGAATAGTCACTTCAAGATCATCTGGAAGCACGTCCTCAAAGGAAAATCCCCCTTGCCTAGTGCAAATAAGCTCGGGCACCCTATGAATGGGTTTCCTTCTCGGGTAAGACAGGTGTCCCTTAAAATGTACTCGTCCAGTTCCCGGGCACTATTCGCATGTAGGATTCAAGACAATGTGCGCATAAACGTATCCGCTATCCAATGATTAAATAGACATGGACAAACTCATCAAGCTGCCCTACCTTCGGCAGGGAGACACTTCCAACCTCTTTGCTGCACAAGTTCACTCGGAACCAACCCCCTCACCAGATTGCATGAACCAAGCATGGTATGAACATGGTCCCGTCTCTTGGAATATCTCAAATATAGACTTGGTTGCTGTAACAACCCCTCTGCACAAAGTGTTCAACTGTTTCTGGATTCAGTTCGGAAAACCAACTTGACTTCAACCAAAAAGTTCAAGTCTACAGATCCGTTGCCCATTGGCAATCAAGTAAAGAGCGCCCCGATTTAGTTGGCATGCACGTAGCATGCTTCATGAGGCAGGGAGCCAGACTTTCAGATCAATGCAGCAACTACTTTCCAAGCCTGCGGGGCTGTAAAAGACAACGCGAGTGTCGCGAAGCTGGCACAGTTCAAAGGAAAACAGCATGAAGCAAGAGACCGGCCAAGATTCAGCGCCATCTTCTCTCAACTTTGATTTACGCATCCAGGAAATGCTGAATTGTTTTGCATGCAGCTGTTTGCGCAAAGCGCGAGTCCTAGGCATCAACAAACCGCTCCCACCCTCCTTTTGAGGTGTTGCCACATGATGCCACCAGCTATCCATCCCGGCTGATTGCTTCAAACCTGACGGCTCTGGAAAGGAAGTGTTTGCCCCTGGAGTGGCATTTCCTGGCATCTCCGATCCGCCGAATGCAACAGGCCTCAATGATTTCAGCGCCCACGACCACGCTGCCGTCCTCGTTTAGCACCTGCAGTTTTGGGTCCCGAAGAGAAGGATGCAACTCTTGATCATACTGTGGATGGACGAAATCCTGCACCACTTAAGCAACCCTGGAATGGTTGGATTCCCGTGTAAACACCAACAAACAATGGTTTCCCATGGTTTTAAAGTGGTGTAGGATTCTGTCCATCCACAGTAGGTGTGTTTTTGGTCAATGGCTGGGGGTCAAAACCCCGTACCCCCAGTGAACATCCCCGCTAAAATCGACTAAAAATGGGTGGCGTACCTACCCCAACATGGTACCATTGGTGTTGACCCACGGCCAAATAGATGAACCGAACTAACCTGACACCTCAGCTGCGAAATGGTCAACCAGTCCAATGTCCAAACACCCTGGCCCACGCAATTAGAAGCCGTCTCTTCAGTCTGTTAGACTTCGCTGTATCTTGCGCCTTAAAGGCAACAACCACCACATGGCTCATGGCCAAATGAGGGTCCCGCAACATGCAACCGCACAAATCTTGGAGCATTGGAAGACGCAAAACAGCAAAGACTCATGATTGGCTGTCCTTGCAGCTCTTCCGAGATCTCGAAAGGACACCAACAAGAAGTCCATCATGAGCATGAGCATGAGCAACACACAGACAGATTTGCTTGCGAGCAATTGGGCTTTCATGGGAACATCGGGTGGCCACCCCCACGTCCTCCCGGAACCAAAATTGGACTACCAGTCAGTGTTATCGATGAAGCCAGTCTTTTGAAGTGATCCTCCTCAGTTGGTAGTTATCCTCAGGTTGGTGAATGGCGTTTGGGGATTTAAACGCCAACCCACCAATCCAAACCACCAACTTGAGGGAAGCTCACGTTTCAACGCGGGCTGCAAGCAACTTGAGCTAAGTTGCATCCTTCAGGAGGCACAAGTCGTGCCTGGCGCCATCCGCAAGTCGTGAACATGGCTAGCTCAGGTTACATCCGATGCGCTCGGGACCATCTCTGTTCCGAGCCCCCGATGCAAAACTCAAAATGTCAAGGCAACCAGGGAAACCCGGGTAAAAATGACCTAGTGCTCACATAAATCAACCAACGACATCTTACCAAAAAAAAATGCTCTCACAAGTCAACAAATTTGACAACTGGCCCTTCCCTGCTTGCAATATTGAGTTGGGATCCCGTGCATCCGTAACATAACGCCGCCCCGGCCAATGCGCCGCAAGGACGGGTGGCTGACACGAAACCGACTGGTGGCCAGGTCTGGGAATGAATGTCACTCGTGGCCTAGGGTTGATGAGACCGCAGACCTCCCGGAGCATCTTGGGTCGACTGAAAACGGGTTTCCCGTTTTTTGAGGTCCAAAAAGATTCCATGGGAGGTCCTGACCGATTCAATGGAGGATGCGATGATGCTCTGGGTAGGGAACAAGGAGGCAAGGCATACTTGCAGAGAAAGCAGTCGGAGGGACGCTTTTTGGAGGGCCCCGAAAATGAGTAAAGGGACACCAACAAAAAACCGTTGCCATTTTGGGGTTCCGAATTTTGTCGGGGGGTTGCTCCAAAATAGAATTGGGTGCCCCGAAAATGGCAAGGTGTTCCTTTTGCTCTCCCTTTGAATTCTGAATGCCAACCCAGCGGGGCTCCGCCATTTCGAGAAGCTTCCACTAGAGGATGGTCATACTTCCCTTGGTTGGACTTCTCATACCTTCAAGCAAATGACTCCACGGCAAATTCACCTGAAACCCAAAAGGGGCCCCCTTCAAAGGAGATCCTAAGCATGAACTACCGTGGATGAACGAAATCCATTTCGCACCACTTAAGAAACCCTGGGTTCTGATGATTCCCCGGCAAATGCCAACAAACGCTAGGGCTTTATTCCACTGGTTTTTGACTTGTAACACCAGGCTTCACATGTGGGTGGCGGCTCGTCTTTTAGGAATCAGGCCCACAACATGGGCGGCACCGGAACCCTGTAGAGTGTCCATTTAAAACCACCAAATTTGGGTGCCTCCAAAAAAAGAACCATGTAATTTCAGGCCACTTGAACATGAGGGCAGATCAGCCAATCATGTTATCTTTTTTTGTTTCTTCACAAAGGACACTGAGAGGAAACCCAAAACTGATGGTTTCAAGGAATCTTGAAATCTTCGGCATTCTCAAATAGCCATAAATTTCAGTATGGAACCACCTCACAAGCGGGTGGATTTCAGATTCATGCCAAAGGCGACAGCCCCGCCTTCCTTGGTCGCGGCCTCCCCTGGCAGTGTTCGCCTGGATGTGACAATTGGCATGACTCACAAACAGGAAATAAGGAACCCCCACGTAAGGAATCTTCTTGTTGGCTTGGTTTACCCCTAGGTGAGCTCGTTGAAACTTGTCCTGATTCATCAGGTGCAACTTGAAGCCAATCCACATTGGTAAAACGATGAGGGTTGCCTGTCCAATCATGGCCACAACAAGAAAGGGATGTATAGTTGTACCTAGAGTCTCCATGACCCTTTAAAAATGGGGTCATTACCCTAAATAAGGACCTATTTTCAAAGGGTCATGGAGACTCCAGGTATAGCAAGTCCCACATGGTATAAACGCCAAAGGTTGGATGTTCAACAACGGCGTTCCGAGCATCCCTCCATCAACATGGGATTGCCCTCATCATAATCAAACCCGGTATTAAAATGGTCTACCCAGAACCATGTAAAGAATTAAGAAGGCGGCCGCAACTAGTTAGGGCTGGGAGTCTCCTTACTAACCTGCATCTACCCGGGTTTTGATTGTGGCTCATGTGGGATGAGTACATGGCACTCCACTTGGTTGAAAAGGTACAACGTATCGGAGCCCTGCTGCAAATGGGTGAGAAAGCAGCCCAACTTGATACGGATATTATTTGGGGGTAAGGTATGGAGCTCTTAGGCAGCGTGTCAAAGCATGGACTCCCACGTGTTGGGTGTCCACTTTAATTTCTGCCTTTGAACTCCCGTGTGTATGCTTTAAAGACATTACTCTGGCAAATTGTGTTGGCATTTCGGCCAGGGCCAGATTCTTGGGTCACTTGCAAGATGTTGCAAGCCCAGTAATGCCTTGAATATGTTTCCTTTAGGCTACGACCTTCGGCTTCCGAACTTGCCTCATTCACTTCTGAAGCTTGGCCATTGGTTCACTGGCCACGGGTTCCCCAAGAAACAACTGGGAAACCCCTAAGAAGCCACACTTTAAACATTATTCAGGGCTCCTTCGGTTTCCCCTTTCAACATCCACCCCGCCAACGGAAACACACCTCAAACTGGCCAACCCAAATTGGGAAATTTAAGGAAATCTGGCAAACACCACAGCGAAACTCCCTTCAAACTGGCCAAACACGGTGATGTTTCAAACCACCAGCTGGGAAATCTAGGGAACCCACTGACCAACCTAAACGTTTTTTTTGCCAAGAGCCTCCAGCACCGGCGAGTACTTGGTGCCGGCAAAAAGCCGGAACCTGACACACAAACACACTTCCCCCCCAACCATAACTTGCTGGTTCTCAGAAGGAATGAGTTGGACGTACCCCTATAAATTATTTTCTATGGTGTCATTTAAGGAAATCCCTAGGTTCATTCCTAACCCCCCCCCCCAAAAAAAAAAGTATCCCCTATGGTGTCCTTTAAGGGAATCCCAGGGTTATCCCCTATGGTTTCCTTTGAGGGAATCCCGAGGTTCATTCCCCAAACCCTGGTCATTCCCGACTGGGCACCAGCAAAATAAGAGGGAGCTGGGTGGGGGTGTTTTTGGACCCAATTCCAATTCATCGAGTCTTCTCCACAAATAAATGGCTTGCCACAAATGGAGATCTCCAGCCCCGTCGTCTAAGATCTAAGATGGTTCCCACTACCCCCAAACCAAAGCAACCTCCAGTGGTTAAATGGGGTATACCGGGTAGTGGTTTGGAGGTAGTGGAAACCATGTTAGATAAGAACATCGCATAGTTTGCGAGTGCATGTGGTAATCTCTTCCCCTTTTGAGAAATGCACACAGCCCATCTGATCCCCAATTACTCTATCAATGAATACCGTTTGCCCGGCCAATATTGAGTAAAAGGGGGCTTTCTTCGGGGGAAGCGATTGACAACATCGAGTGGCTGGATCGGTTCAATTGCGAAGGCTTTCTAGGTAAGCCATCGACTCAATACATCGCTGGAAGCATCGGAAGATGAAAACCAGCGGTGCCAGGAAACCAATCATGCGACATTGTTGCTTTGAAGATTCAAACAATGGACTCAGCATGATGAGCTCACAGTCTCAACCAGCATCCGCTCTCAATGCACGACAAGTCTAACCCCGGTATTTAGGCAGCTTCCTCAAATAGATTTGCCCAGAAAGTATTCTTGAAGTGGGCTCGCTCCGGTTGTGTGGTGTGTGTGTGTGCGCGTGACGCAGCTAAGCCTCTTTACGGATTTTTTGTCCAGCCACTCGCAGGGCTTCTTGCCACGCTCTGAATTCTGAAGGCTGACCATGAATGGGTTGAAACCACCCCTTGGGGCTCCTTTTTGGAGGGCACACGACCGAGTCCAGGACATCTTCAGGGGCAAAGGTTGCCCGAATGGGACAAGACAGCTGGGTCTCAGGCCGCACGTTGACGTTGGGCACCGTACACATCAGGTACAAGCCTGCACGAAGGCAATCGGAAATGTGGCTGCACAATCATGGAAGAGGAGTCCAATTCAATGGATTGCCCGGGACAAGGGAGCAAAGCCAAAAGGCACAATGCTCCGCAAACCAAATGATTTAGAACGACTATCATTTGGAGCAGCAAACACCCAGCCGGTGCTGCTGCCGACTTGTCTTATGGGTTTAATGGAAACCCCGCAACTAATTCTTCCTATTGGGTGTGGCTCAAAATTAAACATGAGGGGCAAACCGCAGGTTTTGGTCCATGTTTCCACTTACCCGGGTTCCATTTTGGGTACCGGTTTTTTGAGCCACAGCCTATTGGGAAACCGGGTTTTCCCCAAGTTATGAACCCCGAGAGGATATCTCCCCAAAATTAACCAGTTCTGCTTTGTCCGGGGTTCACGTTCATCGTTCTGTGGGAACTTGTAGGAGTGTCTTAAAACTTGGGACGACCATTTTGTGGTGAATACCCTTTCGCCTTCCTTTTCCCACCTCCTCAACAACGAGGGCTTCTCTTTAAAAAAGAAGAAGAATAGGACATCCCCTCGCAACGTCAGATCACGATGCACATTTTGTCGAGCTGAAGGAAGCCCCTCCAATATGGCTTCGGTGTCTCCTATTGGAATCCCGTCAAAAAAATATGCAAAACAGGCACACCGATATGTCGCACTATTGTGGTTGCCACATTTGGCGTGCCAATGGCAGTGCAGGGACCACGCGAACTCTATGATGTGCTTCTGTTTAGTTTTATCTGGTGATGTGACGCCATTTTGCAAAACAGAATGAGGGACCGCCCCGCAAACAACAAAAGGCCCTTCATCATTGGCGGGCTCGGTTTACCGAAGCGCCCGTCATAATTTGCGAAGAATGACCCCAAACCACTAACCTGCAAAGGATAATATCCCTTTTAGGTCCAACACCCCAATCAAAAGGGCGTCTCATGTTTTGTTTGTGGCTGGCTTCCTTTGTGGCTTCCATGAGAAACCATCCCTAAGGGGGGCTCCCTTTCTGGTTTCCCATTAAAACCTAAAAGGACACAACCCCTTTGTAAGGGTTCCCCTGTATTAAGACTCTCCCCAATATTTTCAGTGTGTCTTAACATAAGAGTCCCGTAAAATGGTGCGCCGGTTTTTGCATGGTTTCCCTTTAACCCAAGCTACAACTGGCACCAACTCCCAGCTACAACTGTCGTGTGTTTCTTTCAGCCCGTGCTTGTTATCTAGATCTCCCCCATGTCTTTCCGCTTCTCCCCGTGGATCCGTGTTCATTCTTTTCCACCGAACCGAGGGACCGAGGGCTCCGGCTGCAGGAGCCCACGGTCTGGCGCGAGGGGCTGCCGTCGGGGAAGAACTTCAGGCGGCAGAAGATGCCCGCCACCTGCCACTTCGCTGGGAAAATCTCAAGATGGCCCAAAGCCCAGGTGGCCCAAGGCCCATACTGTGGATGCTTGCGACAGGTTGGTGGCCCCAAACTGGCGGGGTCTTTGTGGCTTCCGTTTCAGCCAAGGTGAAAAGGGTAGCTTCAAGAACGCACCTGTACTGCTACTGTGGATGGTTGCGAAATCCGCTTCTCGCACCACGAAATGACACCAGGGTTGAAACCATAACGCTTGTTCGTATTTACGTTGGGGAATCCAATCATTCTAGGGATTCTTGTGTGGTGCGAAGTGGATTTCGTCCGTCCACAGTAGCACCACCACATGGCCCACCCGCTCCCACTCCAGCCACCACCTCTCCACCCACTCAACACCACATGGCCCAAAGCCCTTCTTGACACAAGGACCTTTCGGACTCCCAAACATGTGGGACCCACAGGGTTTCTTGAATCCCAAAAACTATCCGCAACAACTCCCCCGCCAGGATTGGGTTAAGAACCCCAAGCTGCTGGGGAAAAAAGGGCTGGGGCTGCTCTAAAAGCCATAGGCTCGTCTTTTCTACCCGACTTGGGCGTTTTGGGGAAACTGATGCAAGCCAACGTGGTTCCAAAAACGGTGAGACAGACCATCAAAGCTGGGCTGCCCGTTTTCAGATCCCCCGCTAAAAGTGAACAACTTTTAGTGGGTTGAGTTCAGAAACCCAACCACTAAACCAACTAAAAGCTAAAAAGTACAGGAACCGAATGGAAGGGAGCCACCAAGTTAAGTAGTGTCCATTCGGGCAACTGAACCAACCTGCGGATGGTTTCCAAGGGATCGAGTGTTCCTGTCTTTTTTGAGGCCACTGTTTTGTTGTGGCTTTACTTGGCAGGGCCAAAAGGAAAAACAAAGCCATTTGTTCGGTTCCGGCAGGGGAACAAAACCAACGTGAAGTAAGCTTCCATAAGCTTCCCTTTCTTGGCGGACCCCCCCCCCAAAAAAAAGAAAGAAGAAACAGAAGGTGGGTTTGCTGTTGGTTCCCTTTAAGACACCAAAAAAAGGTGCCCTCAACAAAAGACACATTCACATACCCATTAGAAGCGGCCATACCATCCGAGGAAAACGCTCCGGCGGCGAAAAAGACAAAAACAAGGGTCGCGAATATGACGACACTATTCCAACCTTGCACCATCCAACAAGTGACTGCCCAATTGGCACTTCGCCCGAATTACAAGGAGCCCTGAACATGTTCCCCCTTTGACCTAGATAACAAATTCTGTTCCGCCTAAAGAAGGCGCCCCAAACCCTAAGCCACTGAGGTCAAAGCAACCCACCTGGTTGCGAAACATATCGTGCCATGTCCTCGCATTCATGCTATCGTCAGTTGGTGAAGCAGACACACTACTCCCAGGAGTGTCAATTTCCAAAAAAGATGGAACTGAAAACATCTCGTGCCACAAAATCAGTCACATCCATGTTCAACCACACTGACATAAGATCAATTCCAGTAGGCTGTCCAGCTTGGACTGCGTCTGACGCGGCTCTGAGTTTTGGCCGCTCGCCGAGCCCGAGACGTCCATTCCCAGAAGTATCTAATTCCGGAGAAGATGATTGACTGGCAAGGAGGGAGCGAGTCAATGACATCCCACATTCTCTTTCATTCTTCATGTTCCTTTCTTTACATATTGCATGTTTTATGTCGGTGATTGGCTTCCAAAGGTCCTTTTGGTACCGATTTTAGTTGAGCCTCTCTTTGGTGGCTGCGGGATTTGCAAGGGCACCCTCTTCATCCAGGTTGAACGGGAAACCAGAAGGGTTCGACTTGGACAAAATCCGCGCCTCAAGTTCACCGGTGAGCAGAGCACCCGTGCCGTTCTTGCTGGCCTCCAGAGGTGACATGAGGTGGGGGTGGGAGGGGGGGAGGCGTGAATGGGGTCCGCAGGCTGCCACTAATTAAAAGACTTGGCAGCGGCTGGACGCTTGGTTTGCCCATGCCCTACATCGGACTGGGCAAACATAGCCTTGTCGTACTTGAACACAAACCTATGGTGAACATGGTTAACCATTTAGGAATATCAGCATCCATCAGACAAACAAGTGTGCGAAAGGTCAAGCTGTGGCCTGATCCAAAGCCGTGCCTGGCGGGAAAGGACCCCAAATTTCTCGGTGCTGCCGTCAAGGAACAGGGAAATCTCAATCATTGGGGTCCCCTTTTCTTGAAATGGCTAGCAAATCTTGAAATGGGTAGCTGATTCTCCTAAATGGTAGCTGACTTTTATATTGAAATGACTAGCAGCCCTTCTTCTTGCAGAGACACCAGCAACAAAAGCAAACCTTGAAACGAGCAGCATGAGACGACTGGGGGCTCGCGGGGCTCACCAGGCGCCGATCCCAAATGGCTTCTGGTCTTCTTCTGGGAACGCACTTGGCCAAAAGGACCCACGAGGATGGCACTGAACTTGCAGGAAGTGGGTGTGGGGCAAAATGAAACCACCAGGAATTGGACCGCAGGTTTTAGTCCTTCTTTCCATTTACCAGGGTCCATTTGCGGTACCTATTTTTCACCCACGCCCAAATGGTCCGTCCTAGAACAAGTACAACCAAAAGCCTCCCTAAAGGAAAACAATACCTTCAACACCTTCCTGTTCCCAAATTCTCAGGACCACTCCTGCCCGGCAGACCTATCAGAAACCTCCCTAAACAAGCTCCATGTCCCGAAATACATTACCAGAAAACCTTCAGCTAGCAAACAACTCTGTCAGAAAAGAACCAGACAAAATGATCAACTTGGGGAAATCCAGTGAGGGTCTGGTACCTTGAAACCGGTGAGGACCTTTGTCAAACGAACCTCCTGCCTGCAGCGATTTCGGCGACAGTGCCCACTCCAACTGCGGGGGCGCGGGGAAAAAGCGCAAAGGCCACGAGAACAGACCCAGGCTTACCATTTTTTGAAGGCACCCAATCTGCCATTGGTGTTCGGAAAGGTACCAGAAAAAAATGTGTCCCTAGGTATCCTCTGGGACCAAAGCAGTTCTGACGTTGGTACATGATTTAATAACTAGAGCCAAACTGAACCCAGCGCGGCTGATCCCGACCAAATTGTCGGGATCTAAGTGACACACTGAACCGAGTTTCGGTTTTCCGCTTCCTCCAAAATCAGCTTCCCAGCTTCCTCCAAAATCAGCTTCTACTCCGCTGAAGGTTCAAACTCAGACGCGCTGAACTGAATTTCGGTGTTCCACTTCCAACCTTCAGCTTCCCTCCCAACTCGGTGCTTGGATTGGTGGCTTGGTAGTTTTTTGGCCTCGGCTTCCCAATTTACCCACCAGAACACCCGTTCAAACCGCCGGGATCCAAACCGCCGAGCCCCAAACCGCCCTTTTCCAAGGATATACCAAGCTGGTAAACCAGGCTGTAACCAAAATTTCCGGAAACGGACGCCCTTCTGCAAAATCAGATTGCATTGGGGTATCGTGCTGCAAACAGATTCCTCTACTAGAACAAACCCACTTGTTTGGCAGGCAATTGGGCGGGGTGCAGCCGAAACCACTGTAACCAGCATAGCCAATCCAGAGAAACAATGTTGGACTCTGGAGTGGGTCTCTCAATCCTTTTGGTGCTGAACGGGGGGGAAGCATTGCTTGCCAAAACCTCTCGAAACTCCCTCCCGAACAGCTCACCAGGAGTGAACATGCTCAGACCCTTCAAGCCTGAGTCATTAGACCGATGCTTGCTAGCGTGTGGCTGTTCGAATTCAGGCGCTACAAAAGTGGCCAAGGGTTGCCTTTGCTCTGCACTCAGCATGCTTTTCGTCAAACAGGAATGAATCAAGTGTGCTCTCCACCACTTAGGACTTGGCATCGCCTGTCGCCTTTGACTTTTGACGCGGAGTGTTCTACTCCTCCCCTGCTTCGAAAGCTGGTATCCCCAACAGCCCTGGAACCCTCCCTGAAAGCGGCCCCAAACCACCAGAGTCCTGGGCAAAGACCCCATTAGCTTTCAGCTGGGGAAAATCCAGCAAATTGCTTTGGCTGTGTCCCTACGTCCCTACGCCAGGCTTTCGAAGAAAACCCAACCGTGCCAAACATGTTCTTGCGCGTGACTGAAACAAGCACGGGTGAAGGGAGCAACCGTCCACCACACGGGCCACATACTTTATGCTGAGTGAAGTGTGATGACTCAGCAACCCCCAAACCAGAGAACCTTCATCATGGATAGGTCACGCACCCTCGACGAGCTTGCCATAATTTGCTTTAATGAAATCCCGACACGGTCCACTCGCGACGCGCGCGTTCCCAACTCCGACACAAACTATACAAACTGCTTGAAGCAAACAGCTTGGCTTGGGGGCTGCCAGCCTGCTGCACACAAGCAGACTTTGCTCCAGATCTATCAAACACCAGAAGTACTTCAATGTTTATTGTATGTTCTGCGTTTTGTTCGCCTCACAAACCTATGCGGCAAGATTCCTACGCAACTCTTCAAGAAGCTGCTTAGCTTGTCAATCATCAATCCCCTTACTCTGAAACAAAGCAGTACTGCCCCTCTCCTCCTACTGCTGGATGGTCCGTAGGGAACAACTACTGTATTTACTATGTATACACGGTACTTGCTTGCATTGCTAGGGTCTTTGGCTTGCCGGGCACACACACACACACACCATCAAACGTGTAACGTTCTTCAGTAATCAATACCGATCAAATCGTCTGGGGATTTGTCCAACTCATAGTGAGAAGGAACATAGTGCCATATTACAATAGCAACTTGCACTTGAAATATAAATACTTAACAGAACACAACTCATATGTTTTGGAGAGCTCTGAGAGCTCCTCATAATCTGGGCCCAGGGATGCACGGAGGACTCCAGGACCAGAGAGCAAATTATGATATTGCTTCTAAGGAAAAAACACAATGTGTGGGCTTGCTCTGAACCTGCTTCAGAAAAAGAGATGGCCCCGTCGTTTGGCCCACCCCCAAATTGTTACAGCTGAATGGCAGCATAACTGCCAGGTGTCCTTTCTGTCAGGTGCTTTCCGGAGAAAGATAGCGCTGAAGGATTAGAACTAAACTGATGCCAGTGCCATCCATGTTCAACCAGACTTACCGACAACAGAACTATGCTTCTCTCTGTCCGTGTCTCTCTTGAACGGAATTCTTGAAATACCCCGCTGCTTTTTGCGAAAGGTTGTTTTTCCCCAACAGCTGAACGCTTTGGGGTCTCAGCCCAGATAGGCTCCGGGGTTGTCCGAGGCGGCCCTGAGGTAAGGTTCCACGAGGGTTCCACGAGGGTTCCACCAGGGTTCCAACAGGGTTCCACTGAGGGCTGCGGGGTGGTGCGAGCACTAAAGAGAGCACCGCATGCTGTTGGGGATATCACCTGAGCTTTTCTTTTTCTTCTTCGGGGTCCACATGAACATCAGCTTCAAATGAATCCGGAGAAACAAAATTATCCAACCATAGTGCCGTCACGGACACCCATCTTGCACAAGATCTTCCGTGGGTGGTTCGTGATGTTCTTGTCTCCGAAGTAGAACGTGATCTTTTTCAAGTCCGCAGGCTTGAAGGAACTGCTAGACTTCCAAATAGCGCACATGTCCCCGAGAACAATTTGAGGCGCAATCAAAACCGATCGGTACAAAAATGGTCGGCCCAGAACCATGTAAAGAATTAAGAAGGCGGATATCCGCCGCTATTTATGGCTGGGATCATCCCTTACTAACCTTCATCTACCCGAATCGGTTTTGAGCAAGTGGCTCATTTGGGCAACACCTCTTCGATGCAAAGCCTTTGCGGGTCTTGGAAAGGCAGGGATCAGAATTCCAGAAAACCAAGCCCACATACTGTGGATGGACGAAATCCATTTCGCACCACTTAAGAAACCCTGGAAGGATGATTCCCCTGTAAATACCAATAAACAATGGTTTCTCATGGATTCCAAGTGGTGCAGGATTTCGTCCACCCACAGTATTGACCATGGGGATCTGCGGAATTCGCCAACCCCAGCCTTCTTGGCAATAGTCACCCCACCCCTTGCAAAATGGAAAAGAATTCGCACGCGCCTTGGGCCCGATCACCACAGGAAAGCCAGGCGCAGTGCTCGTCTGCGAGCCTGGCAGGCGAATGCGGCCTTCACTTCGCACGAACTGGGTGTTTTCCCCAATGGGGAACTGTACGCGTTTAGACTTCTGGCAAACTGACTGCAAAGTGGCGATAAAGTAATGCATGTATGTGTCTATTATATATATATATATGTGCACAAGGTTTATGCATAAGTAAAATTGGCGAACGCATACGCACAACTAGCCACCAGAGATTGCGACAATTGAGATGCGCGTTTGATCGGGGGAGGGGGGTTTACCTCTCGTTGATCTTTGGCAAAACGAAAATGATGCTTTGATAGTGCGGACCTTTGCGCAAGGTTGCCTTTAGTTATTAAATTGAGTACTCACAGCCCCCCCAGCCTGGCGGTGTGAGGGTCCATTTGTATTGTTGGGCCAATGACTTTGTGTTGCCCAGTCGTCACCCCAGTTTTCAACAAGCTTGGCCGGGTTGCTGCATCATCCTTCACACCATGTTTGTGCTCGGAAGGCATAGTAGTTCGGGTTGCCTCTCCCTTCACTGCTACTGGGTTGTATCTTTAGACTTTAACTTTTTGGGAAATCAAGGGGTTTTCCACTAAACCCCCAAAAAGCTGAACTTTTTGCATGGGGGTCAACAGCAGCCAAGCTCCGAAATCATCAGACAGGGGAACCTGTCTTTGGCGCTTTTCAGAAGCACCCCAACCTAGAAATCAAACCTATGGGACGGGTGCGACACTTTGAGACAAGCACACATATGTTTCTTTGAAGATGCCACACTACTGCCAATATGGGTGTCTTGTAAATGGGGAACCCCTTCTTGGTTGGTTTTAAAGGGAAACCAAAAGCAAAGCCAATCATCTCGGCGGGATCCTAAAAAAGATACGCCCATATTTTTGTGTAACAGGTAATTGTTGCTTTTCTGTTTGTGCTGCACGGAGTCGACTTGGGCGTAGAAGAACACCATGTATGGAGGCTACCCATAAGACGTTCATGCCGTTTGGGGGCATAATGACTATTGACTGTGCCTCACATTTATTCTTGAAATCGGTTGGATGCGCTTTTTATGCATGTCAGCTGTTGTTCCCCCTGTTGGTCCTTTGCTAGTCATCTTTTTGTACTCTTTTTGTATCCTACGCGTGTGGATCCACAGATTTGTCACTAGAAACGGTTTCTAGATTAATGTTGTTTCTGCGTGTGTGTCTCATGTTTGGCCAACTTTGTGTTTTTGTACTGATGGAACCCTCTTTTCTGTGGAGTGGAGTGGTTTGGGTATGGTTGGCTAAGGGTTGGATAGTATAGAGTGGGTTTCGGGTGGGATACCATTGGGTGGGGGTGGCAAACGCGAACCTGGCACCAAACTTCTGAAAGCTCGGCAACCCATCCCATCCGTTCTCGCGCTCGAGGGCCTCGCCGTGGTGTGCTGGATCTAGCCTCGCCAAGTTCGGGTGCAAGAAACTGACAAAACGGAAGCCTCCCGATTGTCTTGCCTGACTTTTTATCCACCACAGCTAGTTTTAGGGTATTCCCACCATCAAAAGTATAGGCAGGTGAGCAACTATGAAACCTCAAACAAGGGTCCATTCGACCTGCACCTCCTACGCACGTTCAACAACAAACACACAGACACAAACACAGACACAGACACAAACACAGACGCAGACATAGATGCAAACACACACACACACAGACACAGACACAGACACACACACAGACACACACACACACAGACAGACAGACAGACAGACAGACAGACAGACAGACAGACAGACAGACAGACAGACAGACAGACACACACACAGACACACAGACACACAGACACACAGACACACAGACACACAGACACACAGACACACAGACACACAGACACACAGACACACAGACACACAGACACACAGACACACAGACACACACACAACACAACCAACCCAACCAACCCAACCAACACAACCAACACAACCAACACAACCAACACAACCAACACAACCAACACAACCAACACAACCAACACAATCAACACAACCAACACAATCAACACAACCAACCAACCAACCAACCAAGAGCAAGCAAGCAAGCAAGCAAGCAAGCAAGCAAGCAACCAACCAACCAACCAACCAGCGCAGGCACACACGCACGCGCAAACGCGCGCACTCGCACACCCGCTCACGCACACGTGCACACACACACGCACACCCACACCCACACGCACCCACACACACAAGACGCAATGTGGGTTGTGTTTGTTTAAGGATACTGTACCCACACACATTCACGCACGTGCGCACACGCACACACACACACACACACACGCACACGCACACACACACACACATCCACACCCACACCCACACCCACATCCACATCCACATCCACATCCACACCCACACCCACACCCACAGCCACAGCCACATCCACATCCACATCCACATCCACATCCACATCCACATCCACACCCACCCACAAACACACACGCACACACACACACAGAGACACACGGAGACACACAGAGACACACAGGGACACACAGGGACACACAGACACACACACACACAGACACAAACAGTCACAGACACAGACACACACACACACAAACACAGACACACACGCAGACAGACACACAGATACACACACAGAGACACACACAGGGACTCACACAGACACACAAAGACACTCACACAGAGACACACAGGGACACACAGAGACCCACAGAGACGCATAGAGACACACAGAGACACACAGAGACACACAAAGACGCACAGCCAGTGCACGCCAGTTGAGCGAGGCAGCTTGGTTTACGGTTGGAACAGCCGCGCACATTTTGAGTTTGAGCACACAGAGACACACAGAGACACACAAAGACACACAGAGACACACAGAGACATACAGAGACACACACACACACACAGAGACACACCGAGACACACACACACACACACACGCACACACACACACACACACACACACACACACACACACACACACACACACACACACACACACACACACACACACACGCGCGCACACACACACACACACATCCTTGCTACTTGCTGGAGTGGTTTAAGGAGATAAATCGTATTAGCTGTACGTCACCAACACACAAGTCCGGCTTTGCCTGTGGCCAGCCAGCGACCAACACTCAAATCAAAGCCCATCGCGCGAGTTGGCTGCAGCCTGAAAAAGGATGGTTTTCTGGCGGTGCAATAATTCACGTTGGTTAGGCCCGAGTGTGGCCGCGGCACGCACCCAGGGATTTCGAGTCACTACTCCGAGTCACTCCACTAGCAAGCTGACCCCAGGGGAAACTGGCCGTGGCCACAATGTAGCCATGGCCACGTAACCCCGTGTCTTCTGGGGAGCGGGGAGTGGGTTTTCAAGTTGGCTGGACGCCCAGCCTCAGCTTCTGGGTCTGGGCTCTTCCTGCGGCTGCCTTAGAAAGCCGCAATCCCCAGGCATCCCAACGCGTCCAAAGATCGTATGACAACTTCCTGCGAATCGAATTAACTACAAGTTGGCCACAACACGTGTTTGCTTGCTGGGTCTTCGGCTGAATTGTGGATGTCCAGAATTCGCATGCGCCCAGTCTAGGTTGGAGCTCCGTCCATAAGGCTATCCCAACTGAAAGGTCCCTCTCAACAGGCAAGACCATTCTGGAAGTGCCGATGTTTGTCTCTGAGCATGGGAACCAACTTGTTGCACCAACCCCAATATGCCTCCCTAGCACATTGAATTGCCGGGGGGGGGAAAGGGGAAAGGGGCCTCATCTTGCAACACACTTCAAAAAATTGCGTAAAGCATGCGCAGTTGCCCTCCCTCAGCTGAAAGCAGCACGCACGGTGTTGGGCCCGTCCAGGCGGTTGGCTTCCTGTTGCTCCCGACGCATCTTTGAGACAGCCTTTGAGAATCCCTTCAAATTTCACCGGGGTTTCGGCGGCTTGACCAAAAACAGCTCGCCAACTTGCAGATTTGCCTCTTCTGGCCGACTTTCATGGAGTCCGACCCTGTGCAACCAACCCCTGGTACACCTGGGGACCTTTCACCAACCAACCAAACTCTGCCAGGGTTTCTTTCCGGTTACCATTGTAGTAGGTAACCAGGAGAAGCCATGTAAAACCTAGGGGTACAAATACCTGGTTACCTACTATTAGCACTCCCCTACTTTTAAACATGGAACCCGAAAAGGAAGTCCAATTCTAAAAGGAGATTCCTCTAAAACTGATTCCTGTCCAGTTCCATACTGGTTCCTGAGTTACTCCCTACTGGCTCTTTCCAGATTTTCCCTAGTTCTTTTTCAGGTTTTGTTAATCTGGGGAGTACCTGGAAGCCGTGTTTGGAAAAATCGAAGACCTGTGCGAATGCGGCATAAAACCAATCTAAACTCTATTTCTAACCAAACTAACCGATCAAAAGGATGCCGAACTGGTCTACCACAACATAGTGGTTGTCCTGTTGCTTTCCCTCATCAGAATCCCACCCAAGAAAACAGGAAATAGTGGTTTGCCTTTTGGTTTCCCTCAAGCTGCCACCGTGAAAAAGGGAAATGCCACCCCACCAAAAAACGAACAAACAATCAAGTGTCCCTCGAAATCTCGCCAAGCAAAGGAGCATGTCCCTCCCTGGTTTTCAAAAACAACACAAAACACACAGAAGCGCGGTAAAAACAAAAAACCGAGGGGGAACAAATTCAAGGAAAACCACGAAACAAACCACCCAGCCCTGGCCTCCGCATCAACTTGGGCGTCCGGGCGCGGGGACCGGGAGCTGGCCATCGAGGCCGTGAGCTTCACCGCGCTCTTCACCGCCGCCGGGCGCTCCGCCTCCGAGGCCCGGCGCGTGCGCTCCGCCGCCGCCGCCGGCGCTTCGGTGGAGAAGAGGCCTCTCGCAGCGCCAAGTGTGGGGCGGGTGAGGGGTGGGTGGGGGGGGTGCGGGGGGAGTGGGGGGGGAGTGGGGGGGTAGTGGGTAGTGGGGGGGGAGTGGGGGGGGGCAGGTGGAGGGGGCGGGTATGGGGTGGCGGGGTGGCTCGTCCTGTTTGTTGAGGCGAAATGTTTAACCCCCCCAAAAAAACAAGATCCATGTTCGGGGCTTCCAAAAAACAAATTTTGAGAGGAACACCTCTTGGGAGTGTGACTTTGGGGTTGCGGGCTCTGGATTTGGGGTAGGTGGGCAAAATAAACATGAGCCCATGTGGTCTCCCCACCCCCTAAAATTTATCCAGAGCCACTCTGACCTCTGCGGCTCTGTGCAACACCCAACGTCAGAGTCGTAGTGCCCAAGCGACCCGACCAACCAACCAACCAACCAACCAACCAACCAACCGACCAACCGACCGACCAACCAACCAACCAACCAACTCAGCGACAAAGGGGACAAAGATCTCTTGAAAAAGAGATTCCAAGGATGATGTAAACAACTTGCTCAACTCTTTGCTGACATCAACTATAATTGGGATATTGATATGGGATAGTCTTCAAATGGAGGAAGCCCCGACATAGGGAGTTGCCTTCGGCTTTCATTTGATCAGCCATTGGCCTTCAGCTTGTTGGCTCAAGACGCGCGTCCGCTGAGCAATGACAACATCTTTTGAAGTCAGTGCTTCCAGGTTTTTTTTTTCCCTTGGTGTGCGCAACATGCAGCAGCACAGCGGCGCAAACTTGTTTCTTCGACACAAACAATCCCTCTTGATGACCTTGCTTGCATACACCGCGCTTCTAGTGCAACCAGCAGATTCCCTGATTGCGCCCTGGCTTGACGCATATGCAAGGGTTCCCTGCCGCACACTTTTGCCGCGTGGTTCTATACTCAGATAGCCATCTCCAGTACTTTATCATTTTCTTCTGGCACATGGCCAATCTAGTCAAGGGAATTGTCAGGCACCCCAGGGATCCTCCCGAGGCTCCAAAGCAAAACAGGACCTACCTGGTGTTGTCTTTGGAATCCCTCAACATTGTAGTCCTCACGATAAATCGTTTTCAGGACATATCGTCTGACCCCAGGTGTTAAGGGATTGGGGCTACATGGGCTGCCAATGATGATATTCCAAATGCGGCAGAGCAGCTAGTGGTCGGGAAGCATGCCCTTTGGCTGCTTCAAACTCGGCCCATTTTTCCGACCCTTTGGGCTTCATTGTCGCTACAATTGAAATGCAACCGGAAAGTCGACCACAGATCGTGGCGACCAAAAAAAACAACCTTTGTCCCACTACTGTGTCCTCTCAGAACTCCTGGTGTCTACTTGGCTCCCTCTTCAAAAGCAATTTTTGGATATATACCCCTCCCTGGCTCCCTTCCAAAACCAACACAGACCCACACATAGTGCAACCATATTTTGATGCTCCTGGGTTTCCTGTTTTGGTTACTACTGTTTGGGGGTCATGTTTCAGGAAGACCCACAACTGACATTCTCTACGCCCTGCGCATGGGAAGAACTCATTAAGAAGAAACAAAAACAGTGAACTCCAGCTTCCATTTGCTTAAGCCCACTGGGAAAAATAACCATCTGTGTCCAGTAGTGATAAGGGTCCGATCCAACAAAAAAAAACAAGCCGCCCACATCTGCGAACAACATCCATCTCAAGGCCATGATCTGCCCACTTCGATGGTCTGTGAGCCAAATGGTCCAGTGAGCCAAGTGGTTGCCAGGTGACCGCCTTTTTGGTGCCCTACTTAGATGGTCTGGGGGGGTAGCTAAATGGCTAGAATCGCCCTGGTTGCACCCCACTTATGGTTCTAAGTACCCTGTAAGGGTGGTTCGCCATTTAGCGAGCTAAGTCCCAGACAATCTAAGCATTGACATACACACCACACACACACACACTCTGAGCCACCAGGGATTCCAAAACAATCATGACCCCTCTCAAAAAGTGGGATCTGCCACGGGTTGGTCTCTCAAAATCGGGGCTGTCGCCGAAAATGGACGGTATGCTTTTGGCTTCCCTTTCAAGCAGACCCAAAAAAGAGGGGTCCCCACGCCAAAAAAAAAAACGCCCCGCCAGCCACTCTGCGAGGCTTCCAAATCGATCGCCCTGAGATCCTGGGACCCCCAACCGAAGAGGCCGCCGCTCTCGGCCGGCGGGCCCTACGGACAAAGACAGGAGGTAGGAGATGTGGCTGTGGGTCAAAAAAAAAGGTAACCCCAGAATGGCTTGCCCTGGTAAATGGAACCAAAGACTAACACCTGCGTTGTTTTTCTTATGTTTTGTTGTTTTTTCTCTTTTTTTCTGGTGGTTTTATCTTGACCCATGCCCGTGTCAGGAAGTGGGAGGGGACGGGGAGGACACCATGTACGAGTATGTACTGTAGCATTCACGAGTTGTTCCTGGGGAATGTTCAAGCATGGGCCCCCTTGAGAAACGCGCATCCGGCGGGCTCATCCACGAAAAACAATCGAAGAGATTTGGATGCCATGAGGCAAAGGAACCCCAGAGTGGCTTCTTGGGTGCCCTTTGAAACCGCCAAACAATTGGGCACCCTCAAAAACAGAACACACCCACGTATGTTGGATCTGGCATCCTTCTACAGGAACATGGCCTTGCCTGCATTTGCCACGCTCTGAGCGCATGAATGAAGCTTTTTGGTTGGCAAAACCTTTTCGAGGACCTCTCAGAGGCCTGTCAAGCGGCTCCAGGTGGTTCCTTTTGCCTTCCCTTTACCATCCCAAAAGAGGGCCCCCTTGGGACCCACCTTTTCAGGTACAGTCAGCATAGTCCAAGTAGATGGCCCGGCCTCTTCTTTTTCGGGCGCCTTGTCTGGCAAGGCCAGCTCTCGCCGCAGGCTGACCACCTCCCAAGTAGCCGCAGAGATCGCACCAGCACTAGGATCCTCTAGGAGTAGACCTAAGCACGAGTCACCTCATGGCATGGCTTTGTCTCAAAATGGAACCTGAACCCTTAAACTGGGTGGTTTCGTTTGGCTTGCCTTTGAACCACTGCCAAACAGGGTACGGTGGAAAAAGACCCGACATGAGAGCTACTAGATTGGTGTAATGGCAAGCTAGCACACGGGTTCGCCTGCGTCGGCTAAGCAGTGCCGTCCCCAATCTTTCAACAAAGGTGTGTACAAATAAGTCTCTTCGGATCCAGAAAAAGGGCCTTGCCATTGCCGCAGGCCTTTCGAAGTAAACATATATATAAGCAGATGTTGCTTGTCAAGAAACATTCAACTCGACATGAATAACATACTGTGGATGGACGAAATCCTGCACCACTTTGAAACCATGGGAATCCATTGTTTGTTGATACTTACAGGGGAACCATCATTCCAGGGTTTCTTAGGTGGTGCGAAATGGATTTCGTCCATCCACAGTATTGTTGTCAAAAGAAAACTCAACTCGAGACTCCTTGAACTTGAACCTTGATCATCTGTTCATCCTCGGCTACAGGGCTTGAGCCTTGCCAAGGCTAATTATCCCAAATGGTTCTATGAATTTCGTTCGGGAACCCCAGCGAAAATGGTTGGAAAACTCTCCACCTAAATAGTCTCTGCCAGTTTTTGAGTCGCAATTAACAAACATGCCCAACTCCATCTGTGCAGTGGCTCAAAAACGGAATGCCCCCAAAGGTAAATGAAACCAAAGACTCAAACCAGCGTAACTGCCCGAGCTCTTCAATTTTTAACCACACCATTTAATTGGGTGTGTCTTAAAATAGGGACGCCCAAAATGGCTAGCTCCTCTTTTCTTTCCCTTTAAACCCACGGAAAAAAAAGGAGGGGGTACTAACTCAAAAAGGAGAAAAGGGTCTTGCTGGTCTCCATTAAACCCAAAAGGGACCTCTCCACACATCGCCCCGCGAGATTTTCCCTTAGCACCAGCGCCTGGCGCCCGAGACTGTCTGCTTGCCGACCGAGGATCTCCAAGCGGCCTCTGTCCTGCGAGGAGTTGGTCTCCGGTTGAACCGCTTCAAAGGACCCAGAAAAAAAGGGAGTGAGAAGAAGGAGGGCGAAAAAGAGATGCGACTTGCCACCAGAAAAGCCGCTTAATTAGTTGGTCTTTGCGACGCGCTCAGTGCAACGAAGTGCGCGTGTTTTCTTGTTAGGGGGAACCGCTTAAGTTGCCCAAAGGACCCAGAAATGAAGGGAGTGAGAAGAGGGAAGGCGAAAAAGAGATGCAACTTGCCGTTCCAGAAAAGCCGCACAAGCTCCTGGCATCCCAAAAGGCCCGAAGCAGGTTTTGCAACTTCAAAAGCCAGTGACCATCAGCCACAAACGTCCGCTCGTTGCTTGCCACTAATGAAAATGCAACTTTCTTGTGAAGCGTGCTTGTTGGACAGCCACACATAAAACGATCGGTTCGCTGCGTTGCCATCCTCAATTGGCCCGGAAAAGAACCCTGCTTGCAAGGGGCAAATAAACATCTTCTGAATAGAATAGCCAATATGCGAGACTTTGTGCGGTCAGCCCTGAGCTTGGCTACTTACCGCTTGATGGAGATGAATGAATTAAGCTCGAGAACAACAATGATACTGACGACAACACTCACAAAAAAAAAATGATGAGCCGCTGCTCTTGCACCGCCACTCTGCGCGAGAGTCTGGCAAAACACCAGCGGCGTGAAACAAATCCTCGGCAGAGGTCCATTGGCTGGCAAAACAAGCCACTGCCCAATGACTCACCATGATCAGAATTGTCTGTACAATGCCAGGCCGGGGTGCCATGTTTTCGAAAGGGGGATGCGTCAACAGTTCATCGCTTGGATGTAGCCCATGTTCTTTTGGGGCCGGCTTTGCATTCTGTTGACATGGCGTCCTCTGAAGCAGTGACTGTTAGGCAATCGGGTGTCCCGGGACCTAGCTTTACCCGGGGAGGAAGGAATCCTTCAGCTGCTTGGTATTTAGTGGTATATCCATCGAACATGGAACAAAAGTCAAGACCAAGCAACACGAGAGCGCAAGTCCCAAGCGCCATGACCTGTGGATCGAAATCATATGTGTTGCATTTCAGGTGCTGGCGCCTGGTATCACACCGTTCTTGAAAAGGCGTGAAGAACCCCAGCAGCACGCCCAAAACGCATACGAATCGCAACGAGGGAGAAAGTGATTGAATTGTGTGTGTATGTGGTTTCCCCAAAAAAACAGTTGCTTCGGACCTGTGAGTCTGTGTGTGCGTCGCCTTGCCGAGGAAATAACCTCCCCACATGGAATGGACCTGCAAAGTCCTGCAGCTTCCATTCGGGGCAGCGTGATCTCTCGCCCTCTGCTTTGCAGAGCGAACATCGCGCGCAGGATTCCTTTCTGGGTTCCCCATCTTCCCCCCCCCACCCCTTCTCATTTGCGTCCAGCTCGCAATTCTTGACAAAGTTAAATCCCCCCAGCAGTGGAAATCCACTCCAAAGTGGCTTGGAGATACCCCCCCAGCCAGACAAACCTGAATGCTAGAAGAACATTTTAAACAGGCTCTAACAAAGGGGTTCTTGAAGGCTGCGTTGTGATTGTCCTTCGGTACAGGCTTGAGCCTGTTTGTTGGAACTCGCTCAAGTGGTCCAGCGACCATAAGTGCAACAGGGGTCGGTGGTTTCCATCTGAAACAATCACCACCTTTGGAGGTTCCCTTCACGGTTGCCGCAGCCCATGAAACATCTGTTCCAACAATCCTTGTGCAATTTCTTGAAAGGGCTTCGCAACGACTAAACCCCCATGAGTCTAGAGATTCCCTAAAAGTAACACCCATAAGGGAGAGATTCCCCCAAGTATCACAGAAGTTGGATACACCCCGAGTGATCAACCACCCTGCTCGACTCACCCCCAGGGAGAGATTCCCCCAAAGTATCACAGAAGCTTTTGGAGAAATCCTGTGTGATCAACAAAAACCATCCTGCTCGACTAACCCCCAAAAAAAGATTCCCCAAAGGTAGCATAGAAGTGGTTGGAGAAATCCTGTGTGATCAACAAAAACCATCCTGCTCGACTAACCCCCAAAAAAAGATTCCCCAAAGGTAGCATAGAAGTGGTTGGAGAAATCCTGTGTGATCAACAAAAACCACCCTGCTCGGGCTTCCCCTGCTGTTTTGAACGCTTCTCACCTAGCCGCTCTCACAGGGCGCCGGTCGAGAAGCTGACGCCCATAGGCCGGTAGAACCTGAACCGCTTGGTTTTTCTCTGAGGCGTCCTCGGATTTTGTTTTGGGTCGTTGAGGCCCAGAGGGTCCCTGGTACCTTCTAAGGAGGTACTGAACGACCCCGTAAAAATCCCCCCAAAAGCCATTCTCGTACTTGGACCCTCTGAAACCAACCAAATGAAAAGAGTCATTTTTAGGGGTCACCTGAAAAAGACACCCCCATGAAAGGTCCCACAGGTCCCACCCTCTTTGTGGGCACACCCAGTGAAGTCGTGAAACAAAATGCTTCGACCCAAAGCCAAGTCGAACCGATCCTTGAGTTGTCAAACATGGCCTTGGTTGGTTTTGTCATACTGTGGATGGACGAAATCCTGCACCTCTTAAGAAAGCTTGGAATAATTATTTTCTTGTGAATACCAACAATCAATGGTTTCCCATGGCTTCCACGTGGTGCAGGATCTCGTCCATCCACAGTATTGCCCGGCCACCAAGGACTCATGTTTCAGCTCACGGCTGTGCAAAAGACGAGAGAGGGTTTTCACCTCGGCCGCGTAAACTCACCTCCAGCGGACTGGTTCGATGCGTCAATTTTTGGGCCGGTGACTCCAAAAATTGGGGTCGGATGGTTGGAGGGTCGGATGGCCCATTTCGGATGTTCAGGGCTAGGACAAGCAGACACTAATCAGGTGCCGCTCGGAAAATTCAGAGGCACGGCTTGCTCTTCCGGCTGGAACCATGTGGTTAGTTGAACCCTCCAAACTGTCGAGGCGTCGCGAGACATGTTTCTTGGGCATTCTGTGGGATGGTTCTGGCCCCATGATTCTACCAGTATCAAAGTCACCACCAAGTGGTAGGTTAAAGGGAATCCGAAGTTTCTGATGTTCATAACCCCCAGAAATGGTCCAAATAATGACCCAAGTGGTTGGTCTACTTTGATGAACAACGGTGACGAAGCTCTCAAGCCTCGCTTGCCCCTTAACTGGAACGTGGCAAGTCTGAATCGGGGGCATAAACCCAGGGGTCACAGAAGCTCTAGACACCGCCCCAGCAGTAAGACAAACGGTCTTGGGATGCTTTTTGGCACAGGTCAACGGTGACCGAAGCGCAAATAGCTCCATGGAACTAAAGGACGAGCTCTCTCTCGACTGCTGTGTGTCTTCCTCTCCACAGCGCTTGGAAGTTGCTGAAAATACGTTGTCTACCCGGATTGACTACAAACCATCGGTGAATGTCAGCCAAAACACGGCAACTCCACAATGTCCATCCGTCATACCCAAATGCCTGTATCCGTGCCAGGATCAGAAATCCTGGTATGGCGGGAAAGTCAAGACACGCTTATCCAAGTGTATCTCAGCTGCCTGAAAAACCGGCACAATCACCCATCTGAACCCAGCACAACCTTGCACTACCATGCCGCTAGCTGTTGACACAGGGAAAAGACAAGCATGCGTTTGGGGTTGATCATGTTCATGCTGTGGGGAACAAAGTGGAAGAACCAAAAACCGGGTTCGCCGGGTTCGCGTTCTCGCAGACCTGGGGACCCGCACTGTGACTCAATCAGCGGCCGATGCGCGAAGGGGGAGGATGTGTAGGTCTTCCTCGTGTTGCAAAATCCCCCTTAAGGGCACTTCTTGGTATGTAGGATTTGGAGGTGTGGATGCGCGGATCTACTTGTAAGGCAGTATGTACCCCTCAGACAAGTGGCATAAAAACCATCATCCAAAAACCCATACCTCCCTCGAAATCAGAGACTTGATTCCTTGGCGCTATATGTAGCATTGCCTTAAAACGATGGCCGCATTTTGAACCTGGCCACCAGGTGCAAAGGCCGCCTGCGGGCGGAGACCGAACAGGACACCTACTTTTCAACCCCCCCCCGGGTGTATTTGCCATATTTTTGGGCATCGAGATTTGTGTGTGTGTGTGTGTTCGTTGATGGTACCCTTTTGGGGCGTTGTTTTTGAGTTTGAAGGACGAGGCACACCACCAATTTTAAGGGTCCCTGTCCCTATTTTGCAACATGCTCAATTCCCATGGGCCAAAACAAGTTCAAGCTTCTTACTTTGGAGCCGGGTTGTACTTCGATGCGGGGTCAGTGTAAAAACGATGGCTACCCACTTGCTCCCTGTTCTTGGCCCCTACTTGGGCGTTCGGCGAACCTCGCAAGATGTTGGCACCCTGGGTTCTAACCCACTACTACAGTATGTTGCCCTAAGTGGAGCCAACCCTTAGTGGGTGCCCGCAAATCCCCCGCTAAAAGTTTAACTCTTAGTGGGTTAAATGGAACTAACACTAAACACTAAATGGCTAAAAAGCTATAAGGGGATGGCTGGGAGCCACCAAGAGACTAGTGGGTCATAACCCAGGTGGCTAACCACTTACTCACTCCGACTCGAACATCCAAGGCTCGTCGCCGGCGCTGCAGTCCAGCCAATCTCCTGCGCCGTCGTCAGTGCTCTGCCATACCTGCCCGCCGAATTGGGGGGCCCAGACCTTTGGTTTTTTCTTCATATGAAATTCCACTTGGATCCGCCTAAAGATGAGGGGCTCAAAGGTTCTAGCGTCCTTTGAAGGATGGAAGGGCTTTCTTGGGTGTTGGATCTGGATTGGCTTCCCCCCAAACTTTTGATTTTGGACCGAGTTGGTCGTCTTCTCTCGGGTGTCCGCTGCAAGACTTTAGCGCCAGGCCTACGCGAACGGCCAAGCCGGCGAGTCGGCTTGTGAGCTCACCTACTGCTCTCCTTTGGAACCTGGAAAAATGAATCCTGCTCACCTTTTCAGGGACCTTAACTAGGTCCTCCAGTAGAGAGGTTACA